CCGTGTCCCGCTCCTTCCATTTCTGTGCGCGCCACGGAGCTTCACTCATGTGATAACCTTACCGAGGGGGATTGACCCCCCGGTTTCGCGGCCCCACCGTGACCTCGTCAGATCAACAGCGAATTCGCATTACCTACGTATACGCATGCCCGTCTCTCTAATGGAGTCACGCGCCCTCGAATGATGGGGGTCATTTCGTCGATCGAGTCATTAAATAATCCATCAGCGTTTCATCAACAAATAGCCGTTGCTGGTTAACGGCGCGTCTGAATAACCTCATCCTTCACGGGCTTATTCCAGGAAAGACCCGCGAACGGAAACTGTCGTTTCTCGAAGTAGCCGGTTCTTATTTTCATATGACCAGCCTGTCAGTTAACTGCATTGACATCGTGCAACAATATTTGCTGCTCTTTTCTTCTCCATCGGGCCGAGTGCTTTCCATGACAACGTACTTCTCATGCTGCGATGTTCCGTACTGTGCGAACGATGTTTTGTTTTTCAATATCGCGTAAGGAAATAACAGATGTTATTATATATATATAAACTGATGTTATTATATTTAAGATAATTAAGATTTAATTTTAATTGCGGTATACTTTTTTGTTAAAAAAGCTCTCGCGATTCAATTGAGGTATTATTTTTAAGTAGGATGTCGGTTTAAAACACGATGATGCCACTACTAACAGTCACAGTGAAGATCTCCATAAAACTGGTCGATCATATTTTTTATTAGCATGACAAAACACAGTTTGGATTTCTCAAATGTTCTTATTCATCCTCATATTTCTTCGCGCGAATTTGCCGCGCACTTCATACAAGCTACAAATTCTTCGTCACAGTTCTATCTTCAGTTTCGACGTCTTTCTCTTTCTCGTTACGTAACACCGAGATGCGCTTCTCCGCCAGATGTGCGTCTCCGCGCGACGACGTCGCGACGCCGAGGCCCGACATATCACATTTGAAGTTCCGAACGGTGACGAACATCGGTGCATCGAGCCGCTTCCGGACTGGTCCCCTGTTTCCGGAATCCCGCGCTCCGCGAGTTTGACAGTTTCCGCGAGCCGCGAAAAGCGTGCCGGCCGTTTAGAGTCACCGGGCGAAACTAGTCGACGCGTGGCTACATCACTGCGGCAGTCTTTATCCCTACCGCGAGCTACCTCTTCTTCGTCCGCTTCTTCATCGCGCGTCACGAAACCACCAACGCAGGTCTCTCTTTCTCTATCTCTCTTTCTCGCCCTCGCGACTATTTTAAATCCTTTGTAGTCCCTCGTGGTCTCGCGACGCCAGGAGTGTATCGCCGCGCTGGAGCGCGTGCATTTCTTTCTCAAAATAGAGGATTCTTGATTGACACGAGGAATAATATACATAAAAATATTTTGACAAAGTATTATTTTATGATTTCAAGAAATTATGTTATGATCGTAAAATGCTAAATAATAAATTTAATTTTTTTTAATTATTAATAAAAAATATACTTTTATATGTTTTGCGGAATATAAGTTTTTGGGAAAATTTACGCAGTATATATATATAAATTCAGAATATTTTTATTAAGTTTTCGGATATATAAAAGTTTCCATTTCATTTGACAAGTCTATTAGTTGACCCAAGTGTTCCGGCACTGATCAGCGTCATTATACCTTTTGATGCTATTTTAGAAACGTCGCCGGAGGCGGTCTTATAAATTTCGCTATGTTATTATCTGCCTTGACCGCGATATTACGTAAAAGCTATAGTTTTGACCGAGAAAAAGACCTCTTTCCCTGACAAGTCCACATATTATTCGAGTTTATGTGTTTGCATTCATTGTAAAGCTGCACATGTACATGCACTAAACATGTCGATGGTATTGCCGTTTAAACTATACAATGTTATATATATAAACATAGGTTTTTTTAGCGATTACATTTTCAAACGCATTTTTGGCTTCGTCTACTTTCTTCGACGATTTATTTTCCACGATTTAATATCGTTTGTCATGAAAAGTGGCATTGTCAGTTCTTGTGTTTAACATCATCAGTTTTGAAGTCCGACAGTGGCGCGATATTTTTGATATTGAAGAAATTCGGTGTCGGTGCGAACCCGGGCGATGATAAATTGTTCATTAGACTGGCGCCGTTTCTTCACGCGGCGATGTAATCTATCAAGAGGTTGAAAAAGGACTCAAAATAATCTCCGAGCTTGACGTAGGTGGCATCTGGTTTTCCCATCGAGCGAGCATGAGACGGAAGCAGAAAAGAAAGAGTCCAAGAACCGGTAGATTGATCCAACAACTCACTTTGAACCCTCTCGGCGTGCTGTCAGTTTTTCTAATTGTGAAGGATTTTCTTCGCACGCCACTTGAATGCACCATGATAATCCGGCTGCATAATGCGTCGGAAGGGACAAAAAAAAGCTCGTGAGACGTTATCTTGATTCGACGAGAGTGTCAAGCATACTTTTACTGTTTGTATGTACTGGGTGGTCCTAAACCGTTCCTAATTTTTATCTTGTAATTATACAAATGTAACTATATGATATTTAAAATTTGTAATTAGTTTTTGAAATAAATAATAACAAAATTTAAAAAAGATGTTTAAAAGTACTTAAAAGATTTTTTATATGCATAATATAATATAATATATTATAAATAAATTTGCACGTTTAATTTTACCGCCATTTTAATTAAAAAATCATCAATGAATAATACAACTACAATATTTGTGAAAATAATGTTAGCTACGAGAAGCTATAAAATAATTTTGATTACTATTTGGTAGCATCAAAGTAACGCATTTATTGCCTATAATACCTTTAGCATACTCATTTATTTATGCTTGATTCAAACGTTTATAAATATGTTGACGTAGTTCAAAATTTTTGAGTTACTGATTACTTCATGATGGGAGACTAAAAGGTCGAGATCGGTTTGACGTTTCAAGTTTCAACAGTATTACGTAGGATAATAGAATAAGTTAGCGTTGAGCTTTTCGGAATCTGTACAGCGTCGACATCTGGATCCCGAGTTCTAAGAGAACAAACGCCACCCCGGAATATTTTGCCAAAACAAAGCTTTTCTTGGCTCCTCGGGTAAATAAATCTCGAGGAAATCACGTAGACGTGCGATTCATGCGCCGTCATTCAGATTTTTTACATCAACGTCGTACTCACTCGCACAGTCGGCACATCCGTTCAATTTTATTTCTGAATTATAATCGAGGTATAATAGGCAAAAGTATATAATATATATGTATATACCCACCATTGTTAATTGAGCTTCCTTGAAGAAATGCGATTAATTAAGCAGTCAATTTCAACAGACTCTTGCGAGCGTTTCCATATTAGAATCCTCAATAGTCCGATAATTGGCTGAGAGTTTCACTTTTAGACGATTAAATCCTTTCCTATTAACTCTTATTGTTTGACTTGTAACTTCATTTCTAACTTTCTTCAATTTATAAATTTATACTAATTAACTTAATCAGTCGCGTGGATTCGTCGTTGTCGCACGTTTAGTCGCAGCAAATCACTGGTAAAGTTCTCTCCTTTCTCTTGACTTATCAAGACACTACTTTTACCGCTTGTCAAAATAAAGTGATATCGTACGATGAAAGCAAACGTTTCTTTGAAAAAATGGAGCACGAATACGCTTGGCGTCATCTCGGGCGCACTCGGGCGCATTTAGCAACTGAGTCAAGTCTGCTGGATCGAGACCGCCGGTACTAGAAACTGTACTATTCGCTTACCCGACTGGACAAATTCAGCGTGTGCAGGCCAGGCCTCGAAAATAGTTCGCAGCAAGTTCGTACGGCGACTTCAATCTGATGTATGCATGTGTCTATTTGTAGATGACCGCGGCGCGATGCAATTTACCAGATCTGCTATAGTCGCGTAATAAAATTCCCCGTGATTATCGCGTACGAAATGTATTTGACCTTTTGTTTGATACCATCCGTAATGATGAATTTATAATTAAAGGGATGGTAGTGAGATTCGCGAGATTAATGGTGTCCATTTAAAACGTTCCCCAATTTCAGAGAACACAATTGCACCGAGCGAGTTTATTAAAACATCTGCCCGTAAAGCACAAAAGTACTCAAATAATTAATTCCACAATGTATCTGTAAGGGAAAGAAAGAGCTCTTTCTAGAGAGAGGCAAAAAAAGAGCGATAACTTGTACAAGAGTGGTCGAATTAAATTTTGATGACATATTCTTTGATAAATTTAGGATCAATTTTTTTATTGAAAACGTCATGAAACTTTGTATATCGTCAAGGTATTAGCTTTTTTTTCATCGCGATATATTTGCTAAGTTTAATAGGATAACAAAAGTTTGAAACTCTCGCTTTTCCATGACATATCAAAAATTCCTTTAGCACGGTAGTTAAATTAATCCTTGATTGCTTTGGTGCAGTCATACTCTAGAGGATCAAATATTTAACATTATTAGTTGGTCTGGCCTGCCACTAACGCGTAATGGAAGTCCCTGCGAAATTAATTTGGCCCCCGAGTGTGAATCATCTATAACGGCAAATTAATAATTCAAACAGCGGCGTTCAGAGCAACTGCGTTAATAAAATTTGCTTAAAATATTCTGCTGGACGAGAGGAAAAAAAAATGAAACAGTGTAAATAATAAATAAGCTGGATAAATAACAGCGTTATACTCTAATAAGATATGAGAAAGTTCAGTATAATAGTCTCATTTGTCTAATTTAATTTTTTATAGCAAAATTCTAGACACTAAACTCAATGCACGTATTTGTTCGTCGAAAGAAATAAGAGAAAAGTTAGAAACAACTTTTTTCGTCTTTTCATATATTGAAAATTATTTTATCCCGCTCGTCCATCGCGAACGTTCTCATTAACCGGGCATGATCAAATCGAAGGAAAGGAAGAGTAATCGCGGCATTATTGCGTCTTTTCGAAACGACACATTCGCAAACCGTCGCGAGAGATCCCCTTCACCTTCGATTCATCGAAAAATCCGCGCGCTCTCCCTTCAGTCCCTTTCCCTTTACCTTGCTCCACCTCGGCATTGATGTGAATGGTCCTCAGTCTGAGCTCCTCGTTCTCGTAAATCATCCCCCTCGAGGACTTCCGGTCGAGTTTTCTATTTGGCTTGACGCTGACGTCTCGCCGCCTGGTCCTCAGCATCCCGACACCGCCAACACCGCCTACCCCCGTCCCCGCCATCATCCTTTTCCTCTTGTGCCACTTGTCTTCTTCCTTCTCCGCGAACGGTATGGCGTGGTGTATCACAAAGAGCGGATCGCGACGAGTGACCGATTGTCCGCGATGATCGGCTGCGCCTCGCGCGCGGCCTCTCGAGAGGAGAGCAACACGCGACTCCCTTGTTCCCTCCCTTCTCTCGAGAAACTTTCGCGAGATATACTCCCGTTCCTCGTAACTATTTGATCTTCCGTTTGATATTCGGCCTTACTCGAAGAAAGTTCTGAGCACAAAGCTTTCGCGCTTGCCAGACTTGGCGAGCGCAACTACGACTTGACCACTCGACGTTCTTTCTATCGCGTAGGCAAATCCGAAGATTTGTTTCGAAGTGTTTATCTTAATTCTTTAATATAGGTATATGTTACACTACGAAATATCTTACTTTGAAGCATTCGCACTTTCTTCAGATGGCTTATTCCATGATAGATCTTATCATATTGAATGTATAATCACTTTCTGCCATTTAATGATAACTCAAGGAATTTTTAGTATTAATATTTGTATAGTAATCCGTAAAATTATATTGTCTGAAGATATTTTTTATATTACTTTTATTTATGTTATTATAAAAACTGGCTCTGTGAATTCTCTTTTCTATTAGATTTTACTTTTGACCGAGAAATTATTTCTAGCCAGCTAAATATCTTAGTCTTGTATTAACTACTTCAATAAGAGGAAATTAGTTTTTAAATTGTATATTTATATCATTATTGTTATAATAACTCTGCACTGAAAAAGATTAAAGGTGCGCACTTGCGCCGATATGCCGGATCTCGAGAATGACACGGTGCGAAGCCACTTCCTCCGTTTAAAGCCGAGCGTATGTTCCTCGAATAATCGCACAGTCACTTCGGCGACGAGTCTGCGTCAATCCCGGGAACAAACCCGGGGAAGCGAGGTGTAATTGATGCCGGAGAAACCGAATAGATACCTTACTTGCCGAGTCACTCTCTATTGTGAAGACTATACATGCTGGTTTGTAGTACCGCGAAGTTTGTACACGCTGACTCGTGATATCTCACGCAATCTATACAGATCTAATATCACCACGCTGTTGCATCGCGGAATTAGGGTTAAAAGCCATTGAGTTACCGGGAAGTAATCCGTCTAAAATTCCGTATACGTTTCGTGAAGGTTATAACGCGTTGTTATATTCCGCGGATTATATATCTTGGTCCACAGCGAACACAGAATTGGGAGCTATCGACGTTGCCGAGCAACATAATCTGCCTGTGATCTCCGTCGTGTGGATACGTCGTTGTATTAACTTAGCGCAGATCCTCTACCGGCAGTACTAATTGGCTAATTCCTCCAGGATTACGTTTCTCTTCCCGGATCGTCACGGAGACTACGAAGGACGGTCGGCTTGCTTCGTGGACCTATCCTCGGTCCACGCGGTCGCGATGAATCGTTTAGACGAAGTTACGGTATCCGGCAATACCGGTCGCCGCGTCGCCCTCGCGGCCAGAAGAATTTGCATCGGACACTCATTTCTCACGCGGTATTCCTCGCACGTAATTTGCGTCCCCATTACTCAGCGTTTATCAGCGTGCTCGGGCGACCACCTCTTGCACTTTCAAGCTCCGTTTTTGCGTTTTTTATTTTTCTCTCTCCCCCCTCTCTCTCTCTCTCTCTTTTTGTTTCCCTTTCTTTTAATTTGTTTTGCACGTCCACGCGGCACACGCAAGGGAATTTATCTCGTCGCCCGGGCGGATTTTCTGCAATCTTTTGGCCGGCTGCGGCAGTCATCGGCCGACTACCGCGCGCCGTTATGAATGTCGAGATTCTCGCCCCTAGGACGCCGGCGATTATTCACGAGGGACTTAAAGTTGCAGCTTAAACTTCTAGCTTCTAGTATCTAGCCTCTTTTCTATCCGGTGGGATGCGTCCGTGCAAAAACTGCCCTCGCGAGAACGGTGAGTGGTTGCGATACGTAATGCCTCGCAGTTATTACGGGGCGATTATCCACGATGATGCGTGATGTCTTCGTGTCGCTCGAAGAGAATCGCTGGTCCTTGAAAAATGCATTAAAGTTAGAAGAAAAGCGACGAAACGGTTAATGATATATACCGTAAGAATAAAGTATTTGATGCGATGACTAGTCGACTTCATGAATTTCACAGCGTTTTTATCTGTCAATTCTAGACATTCTCTGACCTTTAGTTGTTGAATAAAGTTCCCAGTGATCGCTCCTGTCATTCCTATCGTCGGTGATCTGAAAAAAATATCTATATTAGAAATCACGTGTAATAAAATCATATAATTAATTTTTATATACTATGCATTTAGATTTTTTTGTATATAACGAAAATGTATTTAGAATAATCATGAATATCTCATTGTTTCCAAATAACCCGTAATTCGATTTTTATCAGACATAAACTGTTTTACTGTTGCAAAAATAGAATATTTGCTTTTAAATAGAAATTGATAAAACGCAGTAAAAACCTATTTGACCTAAACATCGAAATTGATCGATATATATCGTTATAAGAACCATCGCGAATGAAGATTTTATTTTCCGAGCGAGATTTCGATGGCAAAAGAAGTCACGAAGGATTCTTGAGTGAACGAAGTCTTACAAGATATTGTACGTGATTTAAAACCTTCTCGACAGCTTCGCTTAGAGGATTGCTTCACGTGTCGTAGAACGCGGAGTATCCGATACGCGTGTTCGAGTAAATGCGCAGAATGGCAAAACATTCTGCTCTCATGTGAAGGAGGAAGCGAGTATCCGCTTTGAAAGAAACTTTTTTTGGCCATGTTCTCTATTTCTCTCTCATTCTCGCGCGTTTCTTAGGACTCAAAGTCTAGGGAATGACATCAAAGAGGACAGCACAGTAAAGCAGGTGTGTATCCTCGAACCTATTGTTGTCTTGTTCCGAAAACATACATAAAGAGCGACAAAGAGCAAGGAGAGAAAAATATATAGAAGACATAGAAATTTATCATATTCTACAGAAAATGTATTTGAATATTTAGAAGCTTCTGCTGTCAAAATTAAAAATAAAATGAAACAATTTCAGAAAGAAGAATTAATCAACGAACGGTATGTTGGAATATAAAATGTATCTATATTTTATAGCGAGAAATGTAAGTACGATTCTGTTAAAGTTTTAATATTTTTCTGAATTTAGATCCTTATAGACTTAAAAAAAAAAAAAAAAATAGAAAATGTGTCACACAAACCGAAATACCACGAATATATTAAAAATGTTGAGTGTAGAAGAGAAAAGATAAAAAAGAAATAAATTTTCCTCGTACATTCAGCTAGCTTTTGCAATGATCTTAATTGCTGCATAAATAACGATTCCCTCGTGTTTGCATTAGAAACTTGTAATTATCTCTGGGTTACCTTACGCGATAATTAGAAAAAGAGTGAAAACTTTACGCTTCGTCATACGTCTGCGGACTTTCTTGATGAAGTTGATCCTTTAATTAACGTCGACAGAAAATGATAAAAAGGTAAATGACAAAGGAGGAACTTTTCTCTTACTATGGTATCATACTGAAAGAGATAAAATCGCGCGAAAACGTATAAATATACGAAAATTGCGAAATCAGAGTAGTAAAAATAGTGTCTTGATAGAGAGACAAGTCTATATGCGTGCTTAGAACAAATATTCGATTTGAACGCATTCCAAGTAGCAGGTGAGGCATGATTCATGGCTCATGTCTAGCACGAAAATTAACGTTGTATTTGCCGACGAAAATTACTTACGAAACGAATTACATATCAAAGAGTCTATGTAAAGAAAATTCATTTTTGTTTTTATTTAACATTGCACGAAAATGATCAGATTCTCATTATATTTATCGAGTATTTTTGTAACAATCTAAAATATTAGCGCACATTAATTTAACTGTAATTAAATTATATTTATGACATGTCATACTGTCATACTATCGAATATTTCGACGAACCAAAGTAGAATAAATATATGTATATTTTGAGATTTTATTGTACATTTATGTTGATAAATTATTATTGCTATTTATTTGACAGAATTAAATTAATCTATTGAAAATTTGGTTGTAATTATTGAGAATTAATTATACTTTTCATCGCTACAAACAGATCAATTCCGCTTAATTAAACTTATTTTATTTATCACCAATTTCACTTGTACGGATAATTAATGAATTTCTCAGGAGCGCAATGCCAGATGATACTGCTATTTATAAACAAACGCGTCGCATGCAAAGTGCCGGTCGGCGTAGCTTTTGCAAAATCAAATGTTTATGAAACGCTCCGTCGACGTGAGTTGTTCGCGCGCTCGCAATCTAACGAGGTAGGACCATGAGGTCTTTGATGCGAAACGCGCGCCAACGGGATGTAAGAGAGACCAGAAGTTACAGCGTGCAACAATTACGCTCTTTTAAGCGTGACGACGCGACAGAATGGCGGGGCGATGTATCTCCTTTGTAACGTGAACTTCAGCAGTACGAAAGTTTTCCCGCTGCCGGGCAAAAACTTAAGGCTCGTTAAGAGGCGCGCATTTGCATGACATTTATCACAACTCCTGGGAGGACCTTTAAGATACGTGCCAGCGCGACCGGATAAAGCCGGAAGGATTAATGAGGACGTCTTTCTCCCATCCTCTCTGTTGCCACGCTCGCACTTCGCACAGTGTTAAGACGAAATATATATTCGCCCAGCTTTTAACTCTTTGGTACGTTGGCGTCATCTCTTCGGCAATATATGTTATTCTCTTAATGCTTTGAAGAAGAATACCCGTCGCCAAATATTATACGTATAATATGGCGTAAACTTTATTATGCAACCATCTTTCAATTTATTGCTTGGAGAAATGAATTAAATATTGAATTTTATCGAAGAAAAGTAGTGACAATTTAAAAGATTTTAATAAAATATTTTGGATGTTTACAGTACTTTATGTCAAAAATATATGAGATAGCACAAACTGAGAAACTTTATATGTGAATGTAATATTTATGTTACTGTTTTATTATTCAAAACAATTTTTCTCAACTTTCTACTTGCGATTAGAATAGACTTGATCTCACTTACGAAGTGCTTTTTTCAGAAGTTCGCTCTTATATGCGTGAAGTGTTATACTACTTATTGGCCACCTGGTGGCCGTGTAATTTTAACGATTTCCGGTCTTGTTCGACGGATACGCGTTTAGCAACCACGTATTACGTGTATATCAATATACCGATATAATCCCCGACGTAAACCAGACATGGGTCTCGACACGTAATACGATGGCTGGTAATACCAAATAATCAAAAACCGCGATTTTCAGTGCATGTGTATATATATATATATATATATATATATATATATATATATATGTATATATACATACATACACGCACGCACGCACGCACGCATGCGTGCACACACACACACACACACACACACACATATCCAGATACTTAAATTATTAAATGCGGGATATAGCTGCACGCTGCTGCATTATCATTTAAATTTATATATCTTGACTGAAATATATTATAATATCTTGATGCTAAACGTGTCAAGTGCCGAAAGATATTTTTTTCTCATATAAAATAAAGAAAGTACTTCACTCTTTATTTATTCTTCTCAAATTCTTCATATTATTTTGAAAAAATTGTTTGTGCGTCACGTAACACGTTCAGGACTTTGACTTTTGGTATCCAACTCACGCAATGATGATGTTGCGTCCAAAACCGGTCCGGCCTTCTCTCGCAAGCGTATCTGCGTGGCGTGAAACGTAAGCGGTGCAGCGGCCGTGACGTTCGTGCAAAAATCGAATTTACACCGTGAAGTGCGAGATCGGGACGTTATCGGCCAGCCAGCGTGTGCACAATTTTAACGATTTCCGGGCGGGTTACTTTCGGCGTAACGCGGCGTTACGCTCGAAGGTCGACACGAGCCAGACCCCCCGTGATTCGAAACCTCGATCCGAATGATCGGCCGCGTTGGAATGGAATCGATGACGGGGCGTGTTATTATTAAGCGAAGCGATGACGGATTTCTGATCGCGAAATGATTTGCGCCGTCGACATCGTGCTTTTTCGTACCACGTTAAAGGGAATCGCTTCATTTATGAATACATTGCTCCACTGTTTAAATTGAAGCTAAAATAAAACCTCCATTCTGTTTGTCTTCCGTAATGGTCATACGTAATCGTACATTGTTATTTTCTAGAAGAAAATCAAGATATTAAAGTTTGTTTCGGTATATTGAGTTCGTTTATATAAACTTTTTAACGTCGAAAAGAATTCGTTTATTAGTTATTAAAATTGGAAACATAGTTAACAAAATAGTTATTACAATATTAATAAAGAGTTCGCAAATATTAGTTCGGTATTTTATTACAGAAATTCTAATTAATGTCTTTGTGAATACCAATCATTCAATTTAACTTTACATTTTCGAAAAAAATTTATTTTAAATTTTATTTATTAATTATAACATAAAAATTAATTACAGAGACATTACACAAAAATAGTAATTATTACTTATTAATCTTATTATATTGATAAAGATATTACACATCAGTTGTGAACTTATCAAACTTTATTTTAACGTTAAGTTTAGCTTAAACATACATTCAGTTTGTATATTTGTTAAAGAACATGTAGCTTAAAGAGATGGTGATTAACACCCGGGAACACTCTGTAGAACATGTCGATGGCGTTGATGACATACAGTCGAGACAACGGCGGGCCCATGGATTACATGCGCGACACGTGTCGCCGACGCATTTACCGGCATGACGTTAACACGTGCATCGTCGCGGCTTCTCGTTGCGGCGCGTCTCGCAATGCGTAAGTGCCGCGCGGAAATGCGTGTACACTGTGGTTTCGAATGCACGTTGCGAATGATTTACAGGCGGTCGCGGGTAGCGTGCACCGGATGCAAGTTGCTCGCGCGGATGCGACACGAAGATTTAATTTTTTGAACGCAATCGTTAACCGGATCGTTTCCCGGCGTACGATTCACCAGTTTTAATTATCGCTCGTCAAGTTCCGTCGCATTTTTTTCCTTTTTACTGCAAAATTCTGCTCGAGGGCGAACAACGAGACCCCGATATATCCGTCATCGATGGAAAACATGTCGAACGTAACGAAGAGGATGGTCTCGACGTGGATGCCGGGCACCATTCTCGAGCTTTTCATTCAAAACGAGTCGTGTCCAATTAAGCGAGATGCCTCGTGTGCGCTTCATTTATTCATAATGCGACATGTTTCATCGATATT